GGCGGGCCTGGAGCCCCCAGCTGCCGGCGGCCACAGAATGACTGGACCGGGAGATGGGTGTCCAGCCCAGGACCAGATTCTCAGGGCCAGGGAGGGGCCAAGGCTGGGCCTGAGGCCTGAACGGGTCACTGGGCAAGGACCTTCCAGCTTGAAGGATGAAGACTTGCCTTTAAGGATGACAACTGATCTCTTCTTGACTCTAGGCCCTACTTCCCCCTCTGAGGTCTGTCCTCATTCTAGAGATTCCCAGGACAGAGACTTATGCAGTAACTGGCAGTGTTACCCTTGGGGTAGAGTGTCATTGTTTCCCACTCTAACCTGTCCTCAAGCCCATTCAACCATCACCCTCTTGCTTTCTCAACCTATTCCTTCACCCAAGGGACTCTCTTCTTCTCCAGCCCACCCCCAATCTCCTTTGTCTTGGTTTTCTGGTCATGTCTCCCTGTTCCCTCCCACCCCCACATCCCTACCATCCTCCCAGCTATCCCAGCACCCTCCTTCCTAATCTTGGGAGGCATCTCGTCTGTCTGAACTGGAGAATTCCGGGATCTAGGCCATACTCCTAGCAGACAGCCCCATCCTTGGGAAGAGGAACAAGAGAGAGCCTGAGGAAGAACTAGGGGTAGAAGGTGGGAACAAGGTCAAGCCAAGAGGCCCCTGAGGAAAGAGACTGTAGGGAGACTGGAACTGAGGAGAAAGCAAAGTAGTTAGAGCCAGGGCCAAAGGAAAGAGGGGGGTGGCAGCAGGGAGGTATTTGCGGGGGAGGCTCAGCAGCTGTCTTTCTTAAGACAGGGACACATGGGCCTGGTTATTTTTCTTGTCACATGTGGAGTGGTAAGAGATGGAAGAGGGCAAAAGACAGGGCAAGCTCAGGGCATGGACACAGAGGTAAGTGGGTTTAGTTGTCCAAGCCCTTGGGCCCCAGCAGAAGAACACCTGGACCCAGGCTTAACCCAGCACACACCCCTCACCCTCCAGTCCCTTCAAACTGTCCACACCCTTTCTCCATACCATGACCCCTAATAAGATCTTTCTTCAATATAGGCAATGCCCAGATTCCATTTGGGAAAGGGGAATTACAAGATGAGACTCCCTAGGGAGTTGTAGGAGAAACCTGGATTTTGACAGCTGGTATGGTGTTCAGAGAGAAGAAATTTGAATAGCTAAGAACTGAAAACCTCATCAATCTGAAGCAAGACTTCCATGCCTTTTCCCTCAGGACAAACATGTCCTGCCAGCTATCTCCTGGACAGAACCTCTATTCCTTTCCCACCTCTCTCCCAGCCAGCTCCCAGGTTTCCATCTTCTAGGAAAAGATGGATCCCCCTATGCAAATCCTCCCTGTGGTGTGTGGGGGTGGAGGAGCTGGGCTCCATTAGTGGACCATGGTCCAGGCAGGGGCTCCAGGTCCAGCTTGGATAGGAGGAGAAGGCGTCACTTCCGGGGACTTCGCCAGTGTCTGGTGGCTCTCTGCTCTCTGATTGGGCAAAAGTGGCCCGGTCAAGCCTGTGACCCCACTGCAGTGGAGGGGCTGTGTCCCAACGCCACATGTCTTTCTACTCATCTGCTCCCCAGAGTGCTGCCTGCTGTGCACCTGGGTCCTTAAGCCCTTCTCTACCGGGTGAGTGGCAAACAGGGTTTGGGGTTAAGTGAGGGTATGAAAGACAGGAAAAGAAGAGTTGGGCTCTAAGCTGGGGGAGGGGCAAGCAAACTGGAACCTACACGCACTGACCTTTGTCGAGAAGAGTGGAGCCTTCCCAGAATGGGAGGAGCAGGACAGGGCAGGGGTAGGGGGTGGGGTGCTGGTTTCTGAAGGACTGATCACAGACTTAGTGGAATAGAGCACAGGCCTCCCAAGATCAAGGAAAGGAGACACAGGCCCAGGGAGAAAATAAGAAAGGAGGTACATGTAGGGTTAGAAAACACAGCACTAAAATAGACGCGGTCCAAACCCCAGTCTTACCGGCTCATTTTTTGTTAGCTTAAAGTTCTGAATCCTGGGACTGGGGAAGCTGGGTCAGGCAAGCCAGGGCACAAGGAGAAAATAAAGGGAGGAGGGCTCATGCATGTTGACAGACCTACAGGAAATCCCAATATTGAATCAGGTGCAGGCCTCTTTGCACAACTTGTGAAGGGAGGAGGAAACCATGTGGGGGGTCTTGAGAAGGAATCAGAAGGGGTCTGCAGAGGGGGCAGGGAAGCAGGTGTAGCCATAAGTCAGATAACTTGGCCAGTCAGTGTCTAAAGTAAGGTAAGCCATGTAAGGTGGGCATCACCTCACTAAGCTGTTGCTCATTCCTGGGCCACTTGCCTCAGGAAGGAAATCCCAGGACTATTAGTTCATCTCTTTAACTTGGATAATAGGATATATCAGAACTTGGAATGCAAAGAAAAACTCCAGGAGACTATATGGGTAGGGTAAATAGAGATAGAATGAGAGGTCAATGACTATGGTACCCCCTTTTAATCCATGTCCTCCTGTGGTCCCAGTTATATTTCTGCCCAACACGGAAGCCACACTGCAACACATCGTGCATATTTTCAACTTCCTGATCCTTGCTCTGGATCCTGTTTTCCATTCTTCAGGCTCCCTTCTCTAACCCGATCCCAGATTTCTTCCAACCTAACAACTAAGGTTACTCAGAATTTGAGGCCAATAAAGGTGTGTGTGTGTGTGTGTGTGTGTGTGTGTGTGTGTGTGTATGCACACAAGAGTGCATATCATGTTCTGCTGCCCTCAGCGTGTATGTGGGTGGAAGGACCAAACCAGTACCAGAGTCACTGAGGACCCCTGACAAGGTCAGGAGACACCATATGCTGTGATCACAAGAAAACTTGGGAGCCATCAGAACTTTAGTAGCTCAAGCTCTCCCAGCATCTGTTCCCCCTGCCAGGCAGTCTTTTTCTTGAAACTTGATAAAATATTCACCAATTTTGTAACTTTCAGGATAGTTTCCAGACTGTCTTCCTCGGCCCACCAGTGCCCCACCCCACTCTGCCCAGAAGTGCAAAGAGCCCAAGCCGCCTCCATGGCCCCAGGAAGGATTCAGGGGAGAGGCCCCATACAGGGAGCCACTCCAGCCAGACACCCTAGCCAGAATGGAGCTGACTGGTAAGATCACACTTGAGGGGCTAGGCCCAGGCTGGAGCATGGCAGGGAGAGAGAATAAATAGGCTTGCTGCAGGGGTGGGGAATTAGGGAACCCAGTCTCCCAGGAATAAGGTATGTCCAAGTAGAAGATTCCCTGGATTTCAGGTCTGGGTCCTAAATGGGATTTCCTGGACCATCACCCAACAATGATTTCTTCCTTATCCACCCCGTTCAACCTCACTTCTCCTCATCTAAGAATTGTTCCTTGTGGTCATGCTTCTCCTTACTGCAAGACTAACTCTGTCCAGCCCGGCTCCTCCTGCCTGTGACCCCCGACTTCTAAATAAACTGCTTCGTGACTCCCACGTCCTTCACAGCAGACTGGTGAGAATTCCCAAGCACTAGCTTCTCTATCCACTTAACTGGTAAGATACCCTCAACCCCATAACTTCCTCTCACTCCTGGACCAATAACTATTCTTCCAACATTGCCTTTGACCTACTGATCACCACTCCCTGTCAAGAATTGTGATTTGCACTAGAGCCTTTTTAGAAGCTCTGGACTGAACATAGTGCTCATGGAAGGCTAGCCCAGTCACTGGGCCACCATACCCTCTCTATTTCATCTCTCTTCTCCCCCACACATTTTTTTTTTTCAACAGAGCCAGTGCCCAGACATCAATCCTTTGTCCACCCCTGTCCTGCTACCTGCTGTGGATTTTAGCTTGGGAGAATGGAAAACCCAGACGGTAAGAAAGTCATTCCTGGGATGTCTGGGCTGGGGGCATGGCTCAGTAGTAGAGTACTTGCCCAGCATATGTGACCCTGGCTTTGATAACCAGCAACACACA